TCGGTCACCGGTAAAAAACCATCCATGAGCACCACGAAATTGGTAGGTGCCAATGGGAACATTGCTCGGTGAGAAAGAGCTAGGCGAGATTCTTGGCAAGAATCTACATCTGGCCTGCGACTCCTGGCAGGTACTGGGCAAAAACAAAGGCAGATATGTCTCATGATCCGAGCATCTGATCATGTTTGATGATTGGGTTCCGAAGTCGCATCATGCCCGATTTGCGCATCTGGCTGACCGCGGCTCATTGGCACTGTGACACGGGAAAGGAGATGGCCATGATGAGATGAGCTGCAGGCAAAGAGATGGTAGGGCAAGATTGGCACAAGAGGGCTCACCGGCTTTCCCATCGAGTGTGTATTCGTATGCGTGCGGATGCTGCTCTGCTTACCTTACCTTACCTTACGTTGAATGCTTGCTGCGTGCTGCGGCCCCGAAACCGACCCCAGGTAAAGGTATGTAAGCGGCGTACAAGCCGTCTTGGCTGCCATGACCTGCGCTCATTCGACCGGGCTTATTCCAAAGTTGGCCATGAATTTGGGGTCCAAGTTGGGCTTTGTGATATGTGAGGCGTACCGGCATTCGCGACTCATTGACGGACAATTGAGAAAGCGCTCGGGATGGTGGACATTTCTCCTCATTGTCTTAGATGAGATGAGGAGCACGACTCTCCTCCCGGCAGATGCACGGCGACTAGAAGGGTTGGAAGGGCCCAGTCGTGGCCTCACCTCGCGTTGCACAAGGCGGGCCATCGACAAGGAAGCTTGGTGTTGTAGGCGCAGACGCAGACGTCAGACTTCCATGTCGATGTCGAGCAAGGAAATGAGATGGAAATCGGACTTTTCCCTAGGCTCTTCTTGCCTGCTCAATTCTTCTCTCATCTATCCGCATCTGCACCTGTTCTGCAAAGGAAAGAGCTCTGGTGCGCAAGGCAGGGTTTCCATCCGTATCCGCAGGTGAGGTAAGGTAGGTAGGTAAGGCACCTAGGTAGGTAAGGTGCCATCCTGCGCCCGTATCTGACGGGACGTCCATTTTGACGCACTGGCGCCTGCCCGAACCTATGGAAGCCTGAAAGTGACGAACCGTTCCCACACCTCCATCTTACACCGTGCTTCTGGGGAACGGCGCCCACCGTCCGTAACGTCGGGTGCGGAGCACATAGCAAAGTCCTTGCTTACCTTACCTTACCTTAGGTACGCTTTGATGCCTACCCCCTGGTCCCGCAACTGTATCCGTATTACAACTCCTTCCACTCACACTGCACCATACCTCCCTCGACTATCCACCGCCTTCCGACACCATCGCTCCTGGCGCATCGCATGGAAGTCGTTCAATCGACAGTGTGGACAGGAAGGAACGGTATTTCTCTATTGTTGCTTTGCCAATAAGCCGGGTCGAAACCGACTGACGTCCGCTTCCGACCTCATTGTTTCACAGACATGCTACACAAAATGCTTCGTCAGAATCCTTCCGTCACTTCCACCCATGACAGACCAAACCACCATTTCTCTTCGCCTCCACATCGCTGCGCAAGGTGATGTAGCCTGCTTACCACTTACGCCGCTTTTTTCTCTCTTGTTTATTTTCCTTCCCACGGTACGGTTTTGGTGCGTTTATGTCAAGCCCTGGTCTAATCGTCCCTTGTTGTCTCCCCCAGGCCGCGTCGATCGCTTCCATCGCCGTTGAATCTCGCAAGTTGGAAGTCCAGCTGTCGACATGTCCATCGGCTGTAACCTATGCCCATCACTGCCATACTAGGGCCAGATCAAGTCACCGAGGACCCTCGCCGGTCCTACCCAGGGTCTAACGTTTTGTGCCATTGTTCGCGGCCCGACGTCTCCACAGCCGAGAGACGCCCGATTGAGACTCAACATCTACCATTATCCCGCCCCTGTTGTGCCGACTCTTCCTTCTCCTGCCTTGTGTTGGTAGGATTTTCCCGGCAAACCCTATTTTTCTCAGCCTGACAAACACCAGTTACACCACCAACAGCCTAGACTGAGCTATTTTGTCCCGGCAATCTCGTCTTTGACTTTCCTTTTTCTGTATGCAGACCCCGGGCATTTGGTACTTGGAGAGCTCCAAGACTGCGGTTGGTCTTGGAATGGCACTCAATGACTGTACTCGTGCACCAAGTGCCCGCTCCTTATGCCCAAATCGAGAAGACACCTCACCCTTTCACTTACGTCTGAAGTAAAGTCTTCCAAGTCTCCTGCTCCATCACCCGTGGGGGGTTTGGGGGCTGCGTTGGTCGAGCAGCAAGTCTCACGAGGTCTGGTGCCAGTTTCCTGTCATCATCTTGGCTCTGTGTCACGTTCGACCGTCATGCGCTGGCGTCTGCTTACCCTTCCTTTCTCATCTCACCTTGCACCCGCCGGAGTCAATTCATCTGCAGCTACTTTGTGTAACCTATGTGAGCCCCTCGTGTTGCTAAGTGGCAGCTGCATGGTTTGCCCGGTGGTCAGCATATCAAGGTAAAAGACCGCTCCTCGTTGTTCCGTTATCCATAGATTGACCCCCAGCAAACGGACCTAGCGCCGCCCCGTACCGCGGCGGTTGCATTGGGATACACCCGTCCAGCCATCCATCCTTCCCACCGTCCCTCCATCCTCATCTTGTCCATGGCCACACACTCTTTATGTCCGTACAAGCATACGCACACAGCCAACTTGCTATTGTATCAGTCAGATGCCCCCCGGACCAGGAACCACGGCGCTCTTCATTGATTTATTGTTACTGCGACCCACCACCCACAGCATGAGGCGTGGAGGTCCTTGGACATTAGCCGCTTGCGCGCTCTGCTCGTCTTGTCCTACCTACATCCACAGTACAATGCTATTACCTTCTTACTGTCGCTCAGCGCTGGATTTATGCAATCCGCTGATGATGTCCGTGTGCATGTCGTTTCAAGATTTTCTCCATCCACGTTGCTCATCAGTCTCCATTCAGTCTACCCGGCAGCCTGGCTGACCCTGTCTCCTCCGCCGCTCGCCTCTTGTACACACCCCACTCTTTGCTGGCCTTATGCAGTGCTCTTCCCACGCCTATCAGGATAAAGGGCTCACCAAAGGACATCGTCTCTTAGATTCTTTTCTGCTGCTAGCTCGTCACGGTATGTGTAACCTTCCTGTTCCTCCCACACGATGCAAGTGTCAACATTTAGACTTGCGGGTCCCTTATGTTTCCGTTGCGTCTCTTTCGACTTCGTTTCTCAATTATCTTTAGTTAGCTGACGCAGCCCTTTAACTTGAAATAGCAGGCAGCATCATTCGCTCCCTTCCATCCTCGGCTTGACGCTGCCTCGGCATGAGTCTCCTGTCTCGTCAACTTGTTCAGCGGTATCGGCAGTGGTAGTCATTATTGACTTCCTCGGACAACCCTGTATGTGGAAGTTTGAGTCTACTCGATCATACCGCATATAATTCAAAAGCGCCCGGGCCCAGAAATCATTTCAATCACAGCTATTTTAGGATTGACGAACCCCTTTCCCGCTACCTACCACACGATTACTGCGTGAGCACGCATCAACTTGTCAATGTTGACAACTCTTCAGGCTGTACAAGTGCTGTTGTCTTCTCGACCGAGTTGGTGAGGCTCAGTCAGCCAGTTCTACGAACGATATTGCCGGCACTGTCGTCTCCTCATGCCGTGCAAGGCATCTCATTCACTGTACAGGTTGGTTCAGTCATTGACATCGCTTCATTCGAGCATACTCATGATACACCATTGGCTCTGAACAGTTGTGTAACCTCAGCTGACCTTTTAGTAGGGATGATCTGGAGTTCGATCTTTAGGTGTCTGAGATATTCGACATGAGGTACTCCCCTGACATGCAAATCGACCGTCTCGTCGGCTCGAGGAGCAGTCCAAAACCGAATCAAGGGGCTATGGCAATGTTGCTACGGGATCAGCAGGATTGTATCCCACTTGGAAGGTGTCTGTCGGAAGACGATATCATTGTACTCCTCACGCCCGTTGTCGTCCCATACAGCAGAAACGCCGAAAATGATCGAGATCCATTCGAACCGCTGGGCCGTGCGATTGCTGCGCGGCATTCTATGGTTCGCCATGTTCCCTATACCAAACGAGGCGGCATCAACAATATTCACTCCGAGTTCATAAAAAGAGCGAAAACGATAGTTTTCGTCGTCTCCGGGCCACCATTAGACGGCGATGTCTCGCAGGTCGAGCTGGCGGAAACCGCGCGGTCCTTGGCTGAGGAACGTCCACAAATTTTAGTGGCATGTTACAACGTCAAGGCAAATCCGGATGTTCTCGAAAACTTTGCCACGATTGTACAAGTCGGGGGATTTGCACCATCGGACCTCGAAAGCGCAGCTTCAATCATATTTGGAGATCAACGACCCCCGCCCGTCAATGCCGTACCTGTGCAAAATCTTATCATCAGTGCAGCACGACATTGGCCTGTGGAGGTTTGTGGTCAGGACATGGCGCCAATACACAAACTTTGGACAGAATGTCTACCGCCAAAATATCACCTGCCCCAATTTGCGCTTGTTCTCCTTCTTAAACGGGATGGATATACGATGAACTACGTCGTGAAAGACCCCGATACCCGAGAGATTGTTGGTTTCTGTGCGACATGCACAACATTTACGGACAGTGACCAGGAGAGTCTTCTAGGCTCGTTGGCCGTCTTGATTGTCAAAAGCTCGTATCGAGGGCGAGGTATAGGCCTGAGCCTACACGACAATGCATTAAAGATGCTACAGAGAACACGAGGTGTGAGACGGCTTCAGCTAGGGACGGCTTTCCCACGCCTACTGTACGGGGTCCCGTCAGACTTCTTTGCAAAAGAATGGTTTGCTCGCCGAGGCTGGCAGATGCATGGGCAGGAGGTTTCGGACTGGCTTCTCCGATTTGACGATATGCCAGCAACCAGTCTATCCTCAGCAGGACTAACTTTTCGGCGGTGCGACTTTATGGAATTTCATCAAGTTCTGCAAATTGTAGACAGAGACGCGATACGAAAGGGAAACATGGGATGGTATGACCAATATGCGAGGCTGGACGGCACTCCAAACATTGAGGACGTTGTCATCGGTCTAGAGGGCGAGACTATTGTGGCTGTCGCTTTGACGTACATCCCCAACACTGGAAGCCCAACCGAGGACGACCTACCGTGGGCCAAGACCATTGGCGCGGATGTCGGTGGCGTAACATGCATTTGCATCACAGGTTCGTGGCAACACTATCAGGATCTCGCGATGTCAGTGGCTCACTCAAAGCGCTCCAGATGATAATCGTGAAATGGTGAATAGCCGGGACTCGGTTATGATTCGATTGCTAGATACCTGTGTCAAGTTGCTGGCCGACCGAGGTATGCAGCAAATGTTCATCGATGGTGTCAAAGGGGGCAATGCTGGCTTTCAAAGTCTAGGTAAGCAGAACCTTCGAATACTTCGTGTTCCCATCTAACGCGTTGGCGAAGGTTTTCGAGAGTGGGCAAGATACAAAGACAGTTGGCGAAAGATCTGAACAAAGATCTCACGTACATAAGATGATACCAATCTCCGACGACGCCTTTGGGCTAATTTGCACCACCCACGCCTTTCGATTCCTTCGCCAATCTTCACCGCCATGACGTCGCTTTGTATGACCTTCAAAATATGAACACAGCATGCCGGGACCGCTCCCTCCATGTTGGATGCGGGGTGCCTCCCCCGTTGGCTGACAGCCGACCATTTGGTGCTGGCTCTTATCCCAGAAGTGACGGCTGTATACATCGGCTCCGAGTACCACCTGGTTCCTGTTTCCAGAAGCCCTAAAGATTGAAGTGCGTGTCAAATTCGCAGCACGAAACCTCCTTGCTCGGGAGTGTGGCTGTCCCCCTCCGCAACACTAGAGAGGGGCTGTTCGACAGTAAGCAGAGCGCCCCAATGGCGGTCCTCTGTGTTGCTGACCATGTCCGACAAGAACACATGATGAACAGTCGTGGCACCTATCATTGGCATCATCCGTCAGCAATGCGATGTATGGTAATACTCTGCAATTGCCTCAGATCTCCCCTATCGGCTAGCTATCAAAATGCTATCAAAGGGTTGACAAACCCGAACAACCACTCTCCTCTTCAGGATGAGCCGCTAACATATGGCCTCTGTGCTCGGTCTCGTTGAGGAGGAACAAGCCAGACAAGGTCCGCCAATTTGGGTTTGACCCGGCATAAGCAAGGGGCCCGGGGTGGACACCTAGGTAAGATTGCCATGACCAACAGCACTGCTTGCCAGGTTTAGACTGCCTCTTGCGGTTTGGAGGCCTGTTTTTCCTCGCGAACGGGTTTTCTTTGCAAGGGGTTTACATTCAAAAACCTCAACGCCGCTTTTCTCCGCAGTAACCGGAGTGGGAGGACGGCAACTGAGCATAAATGACAAAATTTGAGGAGTTGTCTGTACTTCTGCGAGCCCAACCAGCATGGGGACGGAAAATGTCGATAGACATGTAAATGGAGAGACATTTGGTGGAGGACCCCGATCTTTTTGTTAAGAGCCGCAACAACTAATAAGTCATTGGAGCCCAACCGACGATCATCAACCAACCTTCGGCCCCGAGTTTGTCAGACACACCCTGTCACTCCCGAGGTCATGCCAAAGAGAAACCGATTTTAGCAGCGCCGATCAGGCAGGTCGATATCGCAACTCGAACTGTGTCGTGTAGATTGGGCGATGGCTGCCAAGTTTGAAAAAGGGGGGTTCCCAATGGCCTGATGCAGAGCTTACACACAGACTCTAACGTTTCCCATGTGGCCAGGGATCGAAGCCATGAACCACCCGCGGACCATCCGTCTAGACCAGGGGAGGAAGAACGAACGCTGTGGCCGGGTGGCCGGGAGCAGCCGAGCCACGCCGACTAGCACTGGATTGTTAGCGTCCGGCATCCCGGTCACATCGCCGGGGTTATCTCCGTGCTGCCACTTTCAAGTTTCCGTGCGACCCAACCAACGAACCGACCCAAACAGCTCTCCAATAACACGGTCCCATCCTTGCTCCCCAGATCCCTGGTCGCAGGTCCGTCCTGCTCGGCTGCGTTATCCCACAGAGAGCAGGATGCAGGTTGAATCACACAAATGTCGTTATTGGTCTGCCCCAAAACCTGTGCGTGGAAGCTGAGATGAGCTTTGATCTGAAGCAGGCTGCACCTGAGCAGCGGTTTCTGCGGTCGAATGCTGGGAGATGCAGTACGGGATCACCCCTCACTTGTCAATCTGTGCCGGTCAGACTCTCATCTGACCTGCGCCATGTGGACAGGACGTCAGTAAGAGAGAGTAATCGACTGACCGGCCCGCTCGATAGGGGCATAACGGTTCCACTCTGTCGTGCCGGATACCCACACACGTTTTCGAAGGCGCTCGCGCAATTCTTCTCGAAGAAAATACTTCGAGCCGGTGCCATGTAACGTCATTGATGATTGACGGCACTGGCGTTGATTCTTGGAAGCCTGCAAGGCGATCAAAGATTTCCAATCCAGCCGTGCAATATTGCCAGAGCAGCACCGTTTAAACACGACCGTACCCTAGCTACTTTTTTTTTTCTCCGTTTCGCCAAGGTCACTGCTAGTGTAATCCCGGCTCTCCCTCACGGCACACGGCTCTCTCGCTGCTTGCGCCCACCTGCCCTCGGAGGAAAGGCTCACATCACACACCCACGGAATGCGGCCGCTGCGAAAAGATGTCAGTCCGCCTGGGCGACGCGTTACCCATCTCACGGCCCGCACAAAGTGGCCGCCGGCCAACGAACGCTGACGCGCAAAGTGAACTATTGAAGCGGACGTTGTTGGAAGGAAGAGCGGGGGGGGGGGGGGGGGACTGCTGACGGACAAGGACAGGGGTGGTTTGGGTGAGAGCGTGTGTGCCACGAGAGTGCAGACGTATTGATTTACACCAACCACCATTAAAGACTCTTTGGTTGGGGGACGAGGAGCAGGAGCGGTGTCTGTTCATGTCGTGGAACAATCGACCCATTCTGGCGCTTCGGGCGGTACGCCAATTCTTGATTCGTTGGGGGATTTTTATATCGACTGGTAATGATGACTGAATAGAGAATAGATGTCACGCCTTCTCCCTCCCCCTCGATGATGAGGCGCGGAGACCGGAAAGAACAACGATCCATTGCGAAGGCATCTCCCCCGCCCATCCGGCAGAATAGTTGCTGACACTCCCATCGGTTGACTTACACTGTGTAGGCTTTTCGCACAGGAGAACTAACACTCAGTGGGACTACATCATGACCCATCATCTTGTCGGCCGTAAGCCCTTTGGTGGGCAGACAGATTGGCAACCCAAGGAGCTGGGAGCCCCAGCTAGCTTCACCGGCCAATTTCTCCGGTCTTTTTCATTTTGTCCCCCTTCCTTGTGCTCCGTCACGCTACGGAGTTAAGGTCCGTGGTCGTAGGAGCTGCTGATCCCCGCCTGGGGTCGGAATCTATATCCGCGGAATCCTCCCCGTTATTCTTCGTGTAGACATCGGTAGACGTATCTTACCTTCGGCGAGGTCTTTGTCGTGGTTGCTTGGTTGCTTTATCTGCCAGCAGCCAAAAGCGATAAGAAGGTGAAAAAGGTATTGAAGTGTGTGTATCAATTTCGTGTTTATATGCTGGCTTGTGGGCTTTCTTTCGTCAAACACGGCTCGGCAGTCCCGAGTTACATCTCGGGATGCCGTGGGCCGAAGAAGCGAGTTGCGGGCCAAGACTCAACCGCGGATTATATGGCTCGAGACGTTTCTTTTGAGACTAAGCCGTGACGAGGATGCAATCAAGGCATTCTGCATACAGGTACATGTGCGTTTTGTCACCGGGCCCCAGCTCGAATAGGGTAGCCAAGGCGATTACAGCGCAGGGAAGGGCAGACCTTGTGGTTCCAGTTGTTGATGATTGCTGAAATTGTGTGTGCCGGGCTACTTCCCCCTCCCAGACACAGATACGCTTGCGCAAAAGATCAAACGACATCTTGGCTTTTTTTTTCTTAGTCCGTAGGGTGAGGTGGGGTTGAGGTTTACGTCTTTGTGACGTAAATTGTAGGTGAAAAATGTGATCGGTGGGTTGATAATTGCGTGATGATTATGTGTGTTCCGTCTGGCGATGGGATTGCGTAAATATGTTGAAATGGCGATTAGCCTTTAAGTAAGGTTGTGAACTACTTGTCGTACTCAAGGCCTATTTACGTTTCTAGAGCCTTGGAACGAATACTAATTTGCAGAAGCCACTCTGGGCTTTTGAATTTAAAGAATTGGAAAAGAGACTCCGTGAAGGTGTGTTCTTAGGGCCTGGTCATGAAGTGTGTATACCTGCTGGTAATATTTACGCCTGGTGTAATATTATAAAATGATTGCGAGACTGAGCTGTTGGATTTGCACGGCTCTGACAATACCGAGCTCTGCTTCCATTCAAAAGCTTCTAATGGACTCTCTGGCCTAAGATCGAGCCACTGGCAAGCTAAAAGCTACCCTTTGATGAGGGTTTGTCATGATCTATCTGTTTCTGGTCAACTATAATCCCGCAAGACGAATGCTTTGCCCAGGCAGCTTGAGCCGTTACCTTCGCTCGACTTTCTCGACGTGGCGAAGTTCCGATAGGAAATAGGCATGGATAGAGAGAGAGGCGCCAGCTTATCAAAAGGTAGAAGGGCTGACATCGACACATGCAGGGCGTCGCGGACTAGGTCGTTTTGTGAACATCGACAAGGTACAGAGTATGGAGTCGTCCAACATGCAACGTTTCTCCAGAAAGGGGACAGGGTATGTGAAGATTGTTGGTGTTGGAAATTGGTTCTTGGCATGGTCGTGGTCATCGGCCTATCATCGAACGGGATCTCGTTGGCTCCCCCCCTGTTCTGCTCCGTTAAAAACGGCCTCTCGAATTCCCAACATGGCTCCGGCGAAAGGATGTCTAGAAGCTATATCGGTGAGCTCAGACAGCTCTACGTCTACGATATAAACCTATAGAATTGTCGACGCGTTTAGACTATTTGGCCACTGACAAGAACGCAGGGCAAAAGATATACTCTTTACGTGCGGCTTTCGATTGTCTGTGCCCAATTAATCTGGAGCGGTCTACGGCATTGAGGTTTCGTGAAAGCGGCAGTGCCATTGGTTGCTATGAATTGTGTGGCGTTGGGTGCTTAGATTGGGGTTTGAGACTCAGGAGCAAATGGCCCGTTTGGAGTTGCCTGGACTCAGGATGTGGAAGCCACGATGCTGCAAGGTTTCGGAGAATTACCGGTTTGGGAGGTGTTTAGGCCTCGCCGAGTCGGGAGGGTGCGGAGGACGATGGGCGGGATAGGCGGGATGGTCGTAGAAAGAACTAGTCGAGAGGGGTAAGGTTTGAGTGTACAGTCGGGCTCTAGGAGAGATTTATAGGTTGGTGCGTTCAGATATTGATTGTTCTTGTGTTCTAGGCGCAGCCGTGATTGAAGTTTTGGCATACAGTTCTCAAGAGTCGAAGGAGCTGTGATCGTTTGTATCGTGAGCCGCGGAGGAACTCCGAAA